GTTGTGCACAAACAAACCATCCATCATATCATAATTCATATATTTATATTTATATTTATATAACATTACTTGTGCTGAAAACTCTTTGGACTGCACAAGGAAATCCCATATGTGGTTCTTAAATGTAGAAAGGTCGGATCTCGACTCAAACAGTCCATTCACAAATTTCGCAACCTGAAAGAATTACATTACATCCATCCATCAGATATCTAAATATAACATAAATAAACAAACATCACTTGTAGTTTTAGTTTTTATACCTCAGATGCTGGAATATTTGGAAAAGAGGCACCAAGAAGCTTAATAGTGTACTCTCTCACAAGCATCCCGTTGTTTGGATACGGATACAAAACAGTTGACGCGTCCTACAAATGCTCAGTCAATGACCCAGATTCCACCTACAATTAATTGCCATGTCAACATATATCATAGTCCTATATACTTGAATATGATTCAAATAAAAAGTACACTAGAGATGATATACATACTATAAGTTGAAACCTGTGAATACAACCTTGTACACAAAGGTTTAATCAGAATTGCACTCTGGTAAGAAGGGAACAGAAAAAAGAGCAGAGCAAAACAGAAACAGTGAACAGGGAAGAATGAAACGTGAACGGGGGAAGGAACGGTTTTGGGAAAATCGCTTGTTCACCAAGCTTTATTAGAAACAAGAACGTAAAAACTAAAACTAAAATACTTCTACTTATCCCCCTATATATATACTAAAAGAGTTAGACTCCTAAAACAACTCAAAAACGTTTAAAAAACTAAATATTCCAAAAATACCCCTGGGACTCTTTTTGTCCCAGAATCTGAATTAAGCCAACACATACCAGGCAGAATAAGTGCTGCAGCACCAACACATGCAGCTTAAATCCCGGTTTATGGAAAGTGTCGGTCAGCACAACTAATATTTCTTGCACAATCAGCACAAAATAAGACCGGTAGAATTGATTACAAAACTCCGAGTTCTGCAATCAAAATCAAATCAAAAATATGAAATAAAACAGATTAAAAGAGCGAGGTTTTTTCGTAGTGGTAGTACCTGAAAGTTTTTAAGCATCTCCAACTTGTGATAAAATATTCGCTTACTAGTACAATAGAAACCTGCAATTAGATAACAAGAAGTGTTATAATTGAGTAAACCTATTAGAAGCTTCTGTGGCTGAGGAAAGTGACAACTCAGCTGATGAACATGAACTTGCAATCTCCATTGCCCCAAGAGTAACACCTGCATATCAATCACACAAACATTCCAGTACAATCATTAAGAGAACCAAAACCCCAAAGGAAGCATGAGCTTCATGGTTTCTATTAGCAAAAAAGTACAGAAAACATGTGAATTTAATCATTTATATATTGAAATGTGATAAATATGATGAATGATAAAACTTACAGGCAAACGATCCCAAACAAGGCAAGCATCATTTGGTTTGAGGTGATAATAAGAGGATCCAAAAGCAACAGCAGCCACACCGATGTAAAAGCATGTCCAACCACAAAGCTCACCTTGTAGACTTGTTATCTAAATTTGGTAATTTGCTTATTTGCACATTTCTCAAATATTGTCCTTATAATCTTTTGATGCAGAAAAAGCATTTGGAAACCTGAGAGCAACTTTGAACAACAAATTCACAAAATGTCCATCAATTTCTATTTTAATTTACTATCTACACTTATTTTTTCTCATGAAAATTTCCATCAATTTCTATTTTAAAAACAATGGATGGATTTATATAAGTAGTATCAGATTAGAGACTTTCAGCATTCCCTATACATCAACTTCTTGAACATTTTTATACATTTGACCTCAATTACACAATCTTCAACCATATCTCCATTTAAGTCAAGATGTTTAAATAAAAGCAGCATGTATATTCAGAAAAATGTAATATCCAATCACCATTTTTCAAAGCTGTGATAAAAACTCCTTCTACAAAGGAAAAAACCATCCCATCTGAAGCATTAATCTGACCATGAGCTGCTTCGAATTTTAAAGAGAATTTTTCCCATAATTTTATTTGTTTTTCCCCTAAAGGTCTTTTCCTTTTTACACCAGGCTTCTGCGTTCCAATTTTGACCACTGTACGAACACCCTTTTGTAAACCACTAAATAACACGTTCCAATTATTGTCACCGACTGATTTTCTTAATATGGCAAGAAAACTCTCATTGTCCTGCATTTGATCACCAAAAGACATCAGGGTTTAGTGTTTAAGTTTAGGTTTAGGGTTTAGATAGACTGTACCTTTAAGGAGAAGGTACTTCTAAAGAGACTTTCAAACTCCTGATAAAGAGGAAGGCATAGAAACTGTGCATTCATAGGTTTAAAACCTCCCAACAGATCTGCAACATCACTTTGCTGGCTCAAATTCTGCAGTATAAATTTGAGCAAAAATATATTATATGCTATTTATGTCATTGAAGAAAATTTAATCAGATTTTGTTAAAAAAACATACCAAAACTGTAAGTTTTTGACTAAGTCTTGCAGCCAGATTCTGTACTAAAGTTGTCTTTCCAGTACCAGTTTCACCAACCAAAATAACAGGCTCATTATACTTAACAGATCCAACCATTCTTTCAAGGATATGCAGTGAAGTACGAATCTCAACGAATGATTTGTTCACAGAAGATGACTATAAAAAGCACATTACACATATAAATAAAAGAAGCAAAAAGTATGATCATACATTTTTTTTTAAATATAATAATACTAAATAGTATAACTTACAGGTATACGTGTGCGTTGAAGAGTTACTCTGCCAATACGTATATCAGACCGCAAGTCCTGCAGATGTTTAATATATGATATTAATAAGAGTAACTAGATTTTCTGGTATCAATATATTATATCTCATGTTATAAGAAGAGAAATCTGAATATCAGGTTTATCAACAGGAAACAAAGTCTCAGCATCTGAAATTATATGGAGTTTGGAAAAGGGAAGAACTCACGAGTCACACTCACATTCCCCTGGATTGAGTTGTCTCTGTGGTGGGTTTGTATGGCACTGTATTCGCTTGCCAATCCCGGACTCCCGCCTCTGATTCCCTTCCTTGTATTCGCTTTACTGACCGGACCCTCAGCTCCGGAAACAACCATTCCATTTGTAACCCCACTTATCTGTTGCTCAATCTCATTCATCTGCTTAATCAAATCACCGGCAAACGTAACCTCTCACTATCACTATCACTAAAAAGTATCAAGTTATTATCCGTTTAATTTATAGTATTAGTAGTATTAAAAAAAAGTGCAAGATATTCAAATAAGTTCAAAACATAAAAATAAATCCAAAATAAAATATCAATTTAATTTTTATAATGTAATATTACAAGTAACAAATATTGCACTCAAAATGTTATTATGCAATTAAACAAACTTAAAATACATAATATTTAAAGTTAGTTGACCTTGGTGTTCTATTATTTGCTAAGACCAAAATGGTGTTAGTTTGTAGAGATTTAACACTCTAGAACCACAAACATAACTCGTCACATATAAATGACCTCCAATTGCATCACTCTTCACAACCTTTGTTATTGATGTCTTAGAAATCCTAGTTAGCCTAAGCTTAGGGATAGATAGACCATTTTACAGACATGTCCAATTAAACTATAGGCTACGAATGTTACAAAATTAGCTTAGTTACTAGACTCGATTATTAATTTCAGTTAATTCTCAGTTGGTGTTTTATTTTCACTCAATATCATATTATATCACTATGAATATATTGGTTTTTCAGTTTAACAAAATTCATTAAACATTTCAAATAACGATTCAAGATTATCTGAATGAGAAGATCAATACTATCCTAGTTGAGTTAATCAAGTGTTGTGCCAAGAAACAGAAACACTAGATATAAAAATGAAGAAACCCTAGTCAATGTAACTCTTAAGATTAAGAGACACTAATTGATTTAGGCCCTAAAATTAACAAAGAAGTTGTGCTAGCATCCATGCTTGTACAAGGAGATTAGAGAACTCACCAGTGAGTGTATACTTAGGAGCTAAGAAACTGATGGTGCCTACTACGCGTGTATGCAAAGAATCAAGAAAAGAAACATAAAAAAAAGAACTTAATTAATCGACTAACAAGAAGACTTACTGGATCAGTGATTTTATCTATATCAAAATTGATTTATTTCAACCTTTTACAAAGTCAAAAGCATCAAAACAAAATAAAACCCACCGATATTAGAATATGAATGAATTAGGGCTCACCAGAATATGAGATCTATCCATTCATGTAAATGTGCAGAGACATGCTCACTCTCAAGAGCCATGCAATGCTTATGCACAAAATCAACAGGGTTTTCGGCCCAAGGAGGAAGCTTAACACAATCGGACGTCATCGATGGAGAAGTGCATAGTCTCTCTCTCTCTCCTGAGTTCTGAGTACACACAAATCGATTGAACATCGATGGTCGGTGTGAGCGACGATTGAACATCGATAAAGACTTACATAACAGATGAACCTTCGATTAAACCTTCGATAAAGACTTGAAGATAAAGACTTATAGTTGCGTCGATGGTCGACGATTGAACATCGATGGTCGGCGTGAGCGGGAGTCGAGCAAAACCAGCGAATCGATTGAACACGGAGAACAGATTGAGGGAGGGTTATGTGATACGAACTTGAAACCCTAGTTCAAGCAATAGTCGATTTTATGGCCCTATGAATGTAAAGTGTTCGATATCTTGTGAGAAATGAAGCGACAGAGATCGATCTATGGAGGATGTGGGTCGTTCTTTGAGGGTTGAAAAAAACCCTAGATTCCTAGACTTTGTGAGGACGAGGTTTTCTACTTTTTAGATTCCTGCAAGGTATTAAGGAGTGGCGGAGAAGCGGATCGGAGAGAAGAGAGAATGAGGGAGAGGGGAGAGTAGACTGCGAAGATGAAAGATAGAAAGAAGGTAGAAGACGGGTTTTCAAAATTTTGGGGATTTCGTTTCCCCCTCTGCTAAACACGCGTTTCATTAAAATTATAAAGTGACAGGTATAAAGGGCGCGCGTTTAAAATAAAGCGCCCTCCGTGTTTTTAATTTCTTTTCTAGAGACTCTAATTTAAGGGCACACAATAATGCGTGACATAAATCCTTAAAATTTTTAAAGAGATGACACTTTTTTAATGTCACTCTCTTTTGCGTAACACAAATCAATGATTGTCGTGGTTTGCGCGTCGTAAAAGGGTCTTTTTCTTGTAGTGACTTCAGCAAGCGGTCCACAAACCTTTGCATCTTTTGCAAGTGGGTCGTGATAGACTCTCCATCCTTCATTTTTGTTGTTATCATGGAGGCAATGATTTCATATATTTCCTGTCGG